TCATGTGAATTAGGAATTTATTAATTTTTAAAAAAATATGAATTAATGTGAATTATGAATTTCTTCATTTTTGAGAAGATGTGAATTCATGTGAATTATGAATTTATTTATTTTTTAAAAATTATAAATTTATATGAATTATGAATTTCTTCATTTTTGAGAAGATATGAATTCACATAAATTGTGAATTTATTTATTCTTGAGAAGTTATGAGTTCATATGAATTATGAATTTATTTATTCTTGAAAAGTTACGAATTAGTATAAATTATGAATTTATTTATTTTTGAAAAATTATGAATTTATATGAATTATGAATTTCTTCATTTTTGAGAAGATATGAATTCATATAAATTATGAATTTATTTATTCTTGAGAAGTTATGAGTTCATATGAATGATGAATAAAATTATTCTTGAAAAGTTATGAGTTCATATGAATTATGAATTTATTTATTCTTGAAAAGATAGAAATTAATAAAAAAATATATATATATAATTATTTTCAAGTAATCATGAATTAATATGAATTATAAATATTATTAAGAAATTATGAATTAATAAATACTTCAAGATATAGCATACATTATTATGATAATACAGTGTGGTCCAAGATGTACAAACAGTTAAAACAATTTTAAATTTTGTTTATTATATCCATCCTTATTACCATTGTCACTATAAAAAAATACAATAGCATGTACATAAAAATGAAAAAACACATAAATATTAGAATCATCTTCATCAAACAACGCTCCTAGCAAAATAATAAATGAGTTAACATTGCACACGACACAAGATAAATATATTTGCATTCGCCAAATCGTCCATTTTTCTTACTAAGAAAAATGATTAATGCCCACGATTCAAAAATACAATCCTAAAGAAACGAATGTTGAAAAATCTCGTTTGGATTCTGCGTTGCAGATGACGAATCGTCTGTTTTTCGACGTGTTTAAAAATAAAACTCCGCAAAGTCGTGGCGTGTGTTCCACGTTTTGGTTGATCTTACGCTTGAAATCTCCTGCCGAGAATAAAAAGAAACAAAGCTCGGAGTCTGCTGCAAGAAATTGCTTTGATTCTTCGTTACCCTCGTGCAGTTTACAACTTATGGTCTTACTATTCTGAACTTAAATAAACAGACGTTTTCATTTGAACCTCAGTCAACAATTTGCGAGCCTTGCAAACTTGTGAATTGTAAATTAAAAAATGAAATTTGTTTTGATTGGTTTTTGAGGTTTTGTGGTTGACTCTTGTTATATTGCAACTTTTATATAAAACTTTTATTAAAAATGCACTAGTAGTTATTGTATATTGTACGTTGAAATGTTAGATTGCAAAGTTAAATTGCATTGTCACGCGTTATATTGCCACATATTATATAGCCACGCGTTGAATTTGCTGCGCGTCGATTTTGCGGTGCGTTGAATTTGTCGCAATCGAAATTTCAGTGTATTATAATTTGCGACGCGTTCAACTTGCAATGCGTTGTAATTTGCAGCGCGTTACAAGTGCAGTGTATTGTAATTTGCGGCGCGTTGGAATTTCAGCGCGTTTCAATTGCAGTGCGTTGTAAATTACGGCGCGTTGGAATTTCAGCGCGTTGGAATTTGCGGCGCGTTGAAATTACAGTGCGTTGTACTTGCGCCGCGTTGGAATTGCAATGCGTTGTATTTGCGACGCGTTGGAATTGCAATGCGTTGTACTTGCGGCGCGTTGGAATTGCAATGCATTGTATTTGCGACACGTTGGAATTGCAATGCGTTGTACTTGCAACGCATTGAAATTGCAATGCGTTATACTTGCGATGCGTTGAAATTTCAGCGTGTTGGAATTACAGCTCGTTGTACTTGCGGCGCGTTGGAATTGCAATGCATTGTATTTGCGACACGTTGGAATTGCAATGCGTTGTACTTGCAACGCATTGGAATTGCAATGCGTTATACTTGCGATGCGTTGGAATTTCAGTGTGTTGGAATTGCAATGCATTATACTTGCGATGCGTTGAAATTTCAGCGTGTTGGAATTACAGCGCGTTGTACTTGCGACGCGTTACAATCGCAATGCGTTGTATTTGCGACGTGTTGGAATTGCAATGCGTTGTACTTGCGGCGCGTAGGAATTGCAATGCGTAATACTTGCGATGCGTTGGAATTTCAGCGTGTTGGAATTACAGTGCGTTGTATTTACAATGCGTTCAAATTACTACGCATTACACTTGCAGAGCGTTATATTTTCTTTGCATTATAATTTGGACGCATTGTGTTCATCACGTATTGCACTTATGACGCGTTAAATTTACTGCACGCTGTACTTACCGTGCGTTGCATTTGACGCACGTTGTATTTCCCTTGTAATCATCATCAAGGCGATCTCAAAGCAGAAATTTTATAATCAATCTAGTACATTACCATCTCCCTCAACTTCACACTTTTGCATCCTCATTAACGGCAATATAACTAGAGTCCATCATGATATATCGCCAATTAGATTCATATATATCACAATGCCTGTAAATTCTATAAAAATTGAAAAATTACTAAAAAATATAGTAAAACATTGCTATTGAATTTCAATATAAATTAAAAATTCAATATCCGTTGAATTTCAATAAATAATTTTTACTGAAAACAAATATGGAGGTCGTGATGTCAGTTGCCAACCTATTCACGTAATAAGCGTTTGTTTACTGGATCAAGGAAAAGGATTCAAGTGTAATTTATTTTTAAAATAAATCATATATCATTACGATTATTAGTCGCCGTCAGAATATTAACAATCCAAGTGACTCTCTGGTTACCGAAGGCCAATCCGTTGGCGATTTGCCTTGATTTTCTCTTGTGCAAAGTTGATCTGGCCACGATCCACAGGCCGTCTATCTCGTCGAAATTACGAAACATAAATTTTCAAGTGCGTTTACACGCGTACGGAGCTGACGAGAAAATTTATAGGACACCCGGATATTGTTCTTTTCCTGACAATATGATTGATTTGACTAGAGAACTTGTCTTGTTGCAACATTTATATTGTTTGTTATCGAATATTCTTGTATTCTTCTTTATGTATTTTGGTGCTCTTGTATTCTTCTTCAAGCATTTATGGATTCTTCTTTTCTTCTTCAAGCATTTACGGATTCTTCTTTTCTTCTTCTAGCATTTATGGATTCTAGTTTTCTTCCTCAAGCATTTATGGATTCTTCTTTTCTTCTTCAAGCATTTATGGATTCCTCTTTTCTTCTTTTCGCATTCAGATGTTCTCGTTTTCTTCTTCACGCATTCATGTATTCTTGTTTCCTTCTTCGCGCGTTCAGTTACTCTTATGTTCTTCTTTACGTATTGAGGAGTTCCTCTTTTCTTCTTCACGCATTCAGGTATTCTTCTTTTCTTCTTCATACATTCAGATACTCTTGTTTTCTTCTTCTCACACTCAACTGATCTTTTATTCTCCTTCAAACCTTCTTGGGTTCCTGTATTCTTCTTCATATATTCTTCTGTTCTTATATTCTTCTTCTCGCATTATTGTCTTCTTGTATTCCTCTCCTTACGTCCTTTGTATTCTTATATTCTTCTTCTCACAGATTTAGTCTATATTCTTGTATTCTTCCTCATATTCCTATATTCTTCTTCAGACATGCTTAAGTTTTCATATTCTTCTTCACGCATTTTAGTGAAGAATATTTGTTATACTCTTCTGCAAGCATTCTAGTGAAGAATATTTGTTACATTCTTCTTCAAGCATTCTAGTGAAAAATATTTGTTATATTCTTCTTCAAACTTTTTTTGCTATATTCTTCTTCAATTATTTATCTATTGTTCTTTTCTTCTTCAAGCATTTCTATGCTGCATTGTTCTTCAAGTATTCATCTATTCTTCTTTTCTTCTTCACACATTGAAACGTTCTACTATTCTTCTCCACGTATTCCCACGTTCTAATATTCTTCTTCGCCTACTCTCTTAATTTCGTCAATCCTGACACCCTGAAACATTCAACGCTCTTCTTGTCACCCACAAATAATTATACCCAACGCAGTGAAGAAATAGCCCTGCAGACAGATTCACGTCCTCCTAAACGATTTACACCAACTCCTAATGTATGCACGTAATTTTTAAATATGAACGAAATGATCGTTGAAAGAAGCTGAGGGCTGTGATAAATCGCAGAAATTTGTTGAACGGGTTGTTTACTACTGTATGACTAACATTCAAAAATATCTTCACTTGGAAGTGGTTGCAGTTGGCATAGAACCGAGATATTGCTAACAAAAGAGCATTGTTCTTGACATCGAGAATCAACCGATTAAACTCTTTGAATAAATGACTCGTGACTATTTCTACTGTTTCTTCGGTCTCGTCACTTAATCACTTGGAACACACTGTAAAATCTAAACAACGATATCGTTGCGTATGATCTTAACCTTTTTCGATGACTTTGAAAGATCTTTTGCAATTGAACTCTCATTTGTTAGAAAATTTAATATTTTTCATTTTCAGAATGTTGCAAAATTAAGTTTACAAAATTTAAAATTTTTCAGCTTTAGGATCTAAGACTTAAAATTTTCTATTTTTATATTCTGGACTTAAAAATTTCTTAGTCCTAGAATCCAGGAGGTGAAATTTTAAATTTTAACAATACAGAATTAAATATTTTGCGTTTCTGAATTTCGGGTTTAAATTTCTTCATTTTTGAATTCCACAGTTTAACATTTTTAATTTTTAGAATTTAGGAGATATTCACAGCAATCAATGAGAAGCAAGAAGAAAATACAATAATAGAAAATAAAAATAAAAAATTCACAAATTCCTAAATATGAGAGGAAGAGAATTCAAGGACGCTGCAAAGAAGAAGAAATCGTGCACAGTATTTTACATATGTCATATAGCACATACAGTAAAATACGAAATCAGAGAAATAACACTTTCCTTCAACCATTCCTTTTCCGAGAAAGTGGCACCTCGGTAAACAAGTTCAAAAAATAAAAGGGTAAACTTTGACAAAATTCTAGGTGTTGGGGGCAAGAAAGTGTCGAGAAGAACATGGGAGAAAAAGGAGGAATCGATCGAGGACTTTAAGTCCGTGACGTTGAAACCCGTAAAACGCGAACGCGCGCCCGAGGAGAAGGAAAAACTGGAAGAAGTGACCTTGAAGCCTGTCAAACGCATTCCACGTGAAGAAGAAGAGAAAGAGGAGGAGATTCAACTGAAACCCATTCCGAGACGCAAGCCTGAAGAGAAGCCGCAGACAGAAGTGACACTGAAACCATTCCAGAAACCGAAACCCGAAGAAGAAAAGCGTGAAAGACCGGAATTGAAACCGTTCGAAAGACCGAAACCGGAAGACAAGGTGCAAGAAAAGGTGCAATTGAAACCGTTCAAACGAGAAAAGGAAGACTTGGTTCCACAGAGAGTTACCGAAAAGGTGGAGGAAGAGGAGCAGCAGGTTGAAACTGTGTCCTGGAGAAGAAAACCGAAGAAAAAGGAAACTATCGTTCCTGAAAAGCCTGGTGAAGGAGTTGAGGAGATACAGTTTTTAGAGGACACGACTTTGCTGAAGAAAAAGGAAGAGACCATCGAGGACTTCAAGTCGTTGGCCTTGAAACCGGTCAGACGAGGCAAAGTCCCTGAAAAACCGGAAGAAGAGAAGCCTACAGAGACTGAAGAGCTACCTTGGATCAGGAAACCGAAACGAAAGGTTCCTGGAAAACCAGGTGAAGAAGTGGAAGAAATACAGATACTGGAAGACACCACGTTATTGAAGAAGAAAGAAGAAATGGTTGAGGACACTAGAAAGTTGGGTAGACCAGTCAGAGTTCCTGAAAAACCGGAAGAAGAGAAGCCAACGGAAGTTGAAGAGGTGTTTTGGCGAAGAAAACCCGGGAAGAAAGAGACCGTTGAGAAGACGGTGGAAAAGGTAGAAGAAGAAATACAGATGGTAGAGGACACGACTTTGCTGAAGAGAAAAGAAGAAACCATCGAGGACTTCAAGTCGTTGACATTGAAACCGGTCAAACGAGGCAAGGTTCCTGAAAAACCGGAAGAAGAGAAACCTACGGAGACTGAAGAATTACCTTGGATCAGGAAACCGAAACGAAAGGTTCCTGAAAAACCTGGTGAGGAAGTGGAAGAAATACAGATGCTTGAGGACACGACAATACTGAAGAAAAAAGAAGAAACGGTGGAGGACACTAGAAAGTTGGGTAGACCAGTCAGAGTTCCTGAAAAACCGGAAGAAGAGAAGCCAACGGAAGTCGAGGAGGTGTCCTGGCGAAGAAAACCGAAGAAGAAAGAGACCATCGTTCCTGAAAAGGTCGTTGAAAAGGTGGAGGAGAAGATAAAGATCGTAGAAGACAAAACGATATTAAAGAAGGAAGAAGAAACGATAGAGGACACCAAGTCGATCTTCAAACCGGTTAAACGCAAAATTCCTGAGAAACCGGAAGAGAAGCCCACCGAAGAGATACCCTGGCTGAGGAAACCTAAACAAAAGGAGACCGTTGTTGAAAAGGTACAAGAAGAAACAAAGATTGTAGAGGATAAAGTGATCAAGAAAAAAGAAGAAACTAAGGTTGTAGAGGATAAAGTGATCCAGAAAAAAGAAGAAACGATCGAGGACTTCAAATCAATGACTTTGAAACCGGTTAAACGAGGAAAAGTTCCTGAAGAGAAGGAAGAAAAGGAAGAAGTTACCCTCAAACCGGTGAAACGTCTTCCGAAAGAAGAAGAAACCAAGGAAGAAATTACGTTAAAACCCGTGAAACGTCTTCCGAAAGAAGAAGAAACTAAGGAAGAAATTAAGCTGAAACCGGTAGAGAAGAAAGTTGAAGAGAAGAAACCCTTGAAACCGGAAGTGGCTCCTGAAGAAGAGAAGCCTTCGGAAGTGTCCGAATTGCCTTGGAAACGTGGACAGAAGAAGGTAGTAGAGAAGAAAGAAGAAGTCACAGAGGAGAAAAAGGTAGAGGAAGAAGAGAAAGAAGTAAGCTGGCGAAAGGCACGAAAAGAAAAAGTGCAAGAAGTAAAGAAAGAACAGGAGGTTGAAGACTTCTCTGCTGTAGTGTTGAAACCCACGCGAAGAGGCAAGAAACCGGAAGAGAAGGAAGAGAGAGAAGAAGTGACACTAAAACCGGTTCAAAAGGTACCGAAAGAAAAGGAAACACCGGAAGAAGTGACTCTAAAACCACTGAAGAAACCTGAAGAGAACGGAGAGGTTCCTGAAGAAAAGACGGAACTGCCATGGCGACGTGGTAAGAAAGAGAAGAAAATTGTGCCGGAAGAGTTGAAACCCGAAGAGGTGCAACCCAAACCTGAGGAAGAAGTTCCTGAAGAAAAGACGGAACTGCCATGGAGACGTGGTAAGAAACCGGCAAAGAAGATCGTTCCTAAAGAAGAAAAACCTGAGGAGGTACCCAAACCTGAGGAACAGGAAGTGAAGGAAGAAAAACCTAAGAAACCAAAGGTAGAGAAGACGACTGAAGAACAAATAGCGGAAATTAAGTTAAAGCCTGTTAGACGACTGGAAAAACCGGAGGAAGCCAAACCTGAGGAAGTTACGTTGAAACCTGTGAAACGACTTCCGAAGGAGGAAGAAGAAAAAGAAGAAATAAAACTCAAGCCGATAGACAGAAAAAAGCCGGAGGAAGAGAAACCAGAGGTTAAATTAAAGCCTTTCAAACGGGGAGAAAAACCTGAGGAAGCTAAACCTGAAGAAGTAACCCTGAAACCTGTCAAACGACTTCCTAAAGAGGAGGAAGAGAAGGAAGAAGTGAAACTCAAACCAATAGACAGGAAGAAACCGGAGGAAGAGAAACCGGAGGTTAAATTAAAGCCTTTCAAACGAGGAGAAAAACCTGAAGAAGCAAAACCTGAAGAAATAACACTGAAACCGGCTAAACGACTTCCAAAGGAAGAAGAAGAGAAAGAAGAAGTGAAGTTGAAACCATTTAAAAAAGAAAAGCCAGAAGAAGAAAAGCCGGAGGTTAAATTAAAACCTGTGAAACGTTGGGAGAAACCGGAAGAAGAGAAACCGGAGGAAGTAACGTTGAAGCCGGTTAAACGACTTCCTAAAGAAGAAGAAGAGAAAGAAGAAGTGAAGTTGAAGCCGTTTAAGAAAGAAAAACCCGAAGAAGAAAAGCCGGAGGTCAAACTCAAACCTGTTAGACGATGGGAGAAACCGGAAGAAGAGAAACCGGAGGAAGTAACACTCAAACCGGTTAAACGACTTCCTAAGGAAGAAGAAGAGAAAGAAGAAGTTAAATTAAAACCAATAAGGAAGGAAAAGCCAGAGGAAGAAAAACCGGAAGAAGTAAAATTAAAACCCGTTAAACGACTTCCTAAGGAAGAAGAAGAGAAAGAAGAAGTGAAACTAAAACCAATAAGGAAGGAAAAGCCAGAAGAAGAAAAACCGGAAGAAGTAAAATTGAAACCCGTTAAACGACTTCCTAAGGAAGAGGAAGAAAAAGAAGAAGTTAAATTAAAACCATTTAAGAAGGAAAAACCAGAAGAAGAGAAACCGGAAGAAGTAAAATTGAAACCAGTTAAACGACTTCCTAAGGAAGAAGAGGAGAAAGAGGAAGTTAAATTAAAACCAATTACGAAAGAAAAACCAGAAGAAGAAAAACCAGAGGTTAAGTTGAAACCTGTTAAACGGCTAGAAAAACCTGAAGAAGAGAAACCGGAGGAAGTTACGTTGAAACCGGTTAAACGGCTTCCCAAGGAAGAAGAAGAGAAGGAGGAGGTAAAGTTGAAACCGATTACAAAAGAAAAGCCAGAGGAAGAGAAGCCGGAGATTAAATTGAAACCATTCAAACGACCTGAAAAGCCGGAAGAAGAGAAACCGGAGGAAGTGGTACTGAAACCGGTAAAACGACTTCCTAAAGAAGAAGAAGAGAAAGAAGAAGTGAAACTCAAACCTATTAAGAAAGAGAAACCAGAAGAAGAAAAGCCGGAGATTAAATTGAAACCTGTCAAACGACCTGAAAAGCCAGAAGAAGAGAAACCGGAGGAAGTGGTACTGAAACCGGTGAAACGACTTCCGAAGGAAGAAGAAGAAAAAGAAGAAGTGAAACTCAAACCAATTAAGAAAGAAAAGCCTGAAGAAGAGAAACCTGAGGAAGTCAAATTGAAACCTGTTAAGCGAGTTGACAAACCGGAAGAAGAAAAACCGGAGGAAGTAACACTAAAACCTGTGAAGAGGCTTCCTAAGGAGGAAGAAGAAAGAGAAGAAGTGAAATTAAAACCAGTTAAGAAAGAAAAACCAGAAGAACAGAAACCTGAGGAAGTCAAATTGAAACCTGTCAAACGGCTTGAGAAACCGGAAGAAGAAAAACCGGAGGAAGTGCAATTAAAACCTGTGAAGAGACTTCCCAAAGAAGAAGAAGAGAAAGAAGAAATCAAACTGAAACCTGTCGTCAAAGAAAAACCGGAAGAACAAAAACCTGAAGAGGTAAAATTAAAACCTGTGAAGAGGCTTCCTAAAGAGGAAGAAGTAAAAGAAGAAATCAAACTGAAACCAGTCGTCAAAGAAAAACCGGAGGAACAGAAACCTGAAGAAGTCAAATTGAAGCCTGTGAAACGACCAGAAAAACCAGAAGAGGCTAAACCAGAAGAAGTGACATTGAAACCTGTGAAGAGGCTTCCTAAAGAAGAAGAAGAGAAAGAAGAAATCAAACTGAAACCAGTCGTGAAAGAAAAACCGGAAGAACAGAAACCTGAAGAGGTCAAATTGAAGCCTGTGAAACGACCAGAAAAACCAGAAGAGGCTAAACCTGAAGAAGTGACACTGAAACCTGTTCCAAAGGTCGTTGAAAAGGTTGAAGAGAAACCTGAAGAAGAAAAGCCGGAAGAAACCTCGATATTACCATGGCGCCGTGGCAAGAAGACGAAGAAAGTTGTCGACTTCCAAGAAGAAATAACTGTGGTACCCATCGATCAAGAGAAGGTCATTACCAAAGTCCACGAAGAAGAAACGATCGTGGAACAGAAAGTGGAAGCGAAGGAAGTTGTACAGCAAGAAATTAGGGAAGAAAGGAAAGAAGTAGAAATCAAGGAAGAGAAGAAGGAGGTACCATGGCGAAGAACGAAGGAAGTCGTCGAAAAGAAGGTTGAAATCGAAGAAATCAAACCTGAAGTGGTTGAAGAGGTCACTGAGGTGTCTGAAGTGTCCTGGAGAAAGCCACGAAAACCGAAGAAACCGGTAGAAGAAGTAATTGAAGTGAAGGCTGAGGAGAAACACGAAGAAGTTATACAGAAAGTCGAAGAAGAGATAACAGTGAAGAAAGTGGAGAAAGTACCCGAGAAACCTGAAGAAGTAGTCCTCAAGCCTGTGAAGAAAGAAAAGGTTCCCGAAGAGGTTGAAAAGGATGAAGTGAAATTGAAACCAGTTCCAAAGAAACCTAAAGAAGAAGAGGTTCCTGAGAAGGTAACTCTGAAGCCAGTGAAGAGAGAGAAACCCGAAGAGAAACCAAAAGAAGAAAAACCAGAACTGAAACCCGTCAGGTTAGAAAAACCAGAGGAGAGGGTAGAAAAAGAAGAAACAGTAATCGAAGTAACAAAGATAGAGCGCAAGAAGCCTGAAAAGGAAGAAGTTACGGAAGTCATAGAAGAGATCACAGAAGTCAAGGAAGAAAAACCAGAACTTCCTTGGCGAAGGCCGAAGAAGGTTGTCGAAAAGAAGATCGAAGTACAGCCAGAAGAAGAGAAAGTTGAAGAAGTCACTGAAGTATCGGAAGTGTCGTGGAGAAAGCCTCGCAAACCGAAAAAGCCAGAAGAAGAAAAAGAAGTGGTCGAACTGAAACCGGTCGAGAAACGCGAGGAAGTTGTCAAAAAGGTCGAAGAAGAAATAACCTTAAAGAAAGTGAAGAAAGAACCTGAAAAATCTGAAGAAGTTGTCCTCAAGCCTGTAAAGAAAGAGAAAGTACCTGAAGAGGTTGAAAAGGACGAAATGAAATTGAAACCAGTTCCAAAGAAACCTAAAGAAGAAGAGGTTCCTGAGAAGGTAACTCTGAAGCCAGTGAAGAGAGAGAAACCCGAAGAGAAACCAAAAGAAGAAAAACCAGAACTGAAACCCGTCAGGTTAGAAAAACCAGAGGTCGAAGAAGAAGAAACAGAAGAAATAGTCGAAATAACAAGAAGAAGACCAAAGAAGAAACCAGAAGAAATCGAAAAAGAAGAAATCCAAGTAGAAACCAAGGAAGTCGAAGTAATCGAGAAAGAAGAAGTCCAAATCGAAGACCGAAAGAGAAAACGCAAACAGCGTACTCAGGTCGACATATCGATCATCGACAAAGATAAGAAAATTGCACCAAGGTTCATCCAAAAACTTCAGCCCGTTATCGCTGAACCAGAAACCACCGCCAAATTCACTTGCACCGTGTTTGGCAATCCGGTTCCGGAAATTACGTGGTACAGAAACGAGCAAGAACTTCACGCTAGCGAGAAGTATATAATGACAGTGTACGAAACTACGGCTTCGTTGGAGATCACTAAAGTGAAGGAGGAGGACGCTGGAATGTATTCTTGCAGAGCGTCGAACCCTGCAGGAGTCGCTACGTCCACCGTCAATCTCGTGATATTCGGTACTAGAAATTTACCTCGTGATGTCCCTGTGATTGTCTTTTTGCCGTGTTTTAATAAATCAATGCTTTTGTATTTTTGTTTTCAGCTGTGTTTGATTTGTTGTGTGATCAAGGTTTTTTAAAAATGTTTGCAGGTGTACCAGGATAAAGTAGACTCATATTAATGAAATACATATGTTTTCGCAAATAACGCTTATATTTATATTATATGCTGTTACAATGATTTTGGATTAAATGTTTGTCTTGCATAACATATAGCACTGAGATTTTCAGGCGTGAATAATGTCATGAACAAAAATTTTGTTCAAACTAGAAATTTATACGAAGGAGCATTAAGTGCAAATGTGTTGTGAAAGCTTCAAGATTATGCTTGCATGAAGCTTTGTGGTTTTGTGTTATAATTGTTGCAACTATGGCTGTAATTCGACTATACGAATTGTATGTCTCACCAAATGTTCAAGTCTCAATAACAGCCTTAGCTGCACCACTACGATCCATACCTTGAATTTAATCTTCTTCTTCTCTTCACAGAAAAAGAAGAAGAAGGCATAGCCCCACACTTCTCGACACCCATCAAGCCCCTGATGGTCGAAGAGCACAAACCAGCACTGCTAGAGTGCGTGGTAACGGGAACGCCAGTACCGGAAGTGAAGTGGTACCGCGGAGACCAAGAGCTCAAACCCAAGAAAGGCAGAGAGATCACCTTCAACCCAGAAACCGGAGAAGCGAAGCTACACATCCTGGAGCCAACACCCGAAGACGAAACGATTTACCGAGTGCGGGCAGTGAACAAATTCGGTCGAGCCGAGTGCAGAGCGAATCTGGTGATAAGCGACGCGGTTAAAGTCACCAAACCAGAAGTACTCAGAGCACCGAAGATCACAAGACCCTTGCCAGCGTTGGTCGCTGAACGCGGAAAGCCTCTGACGCTGTCCGCGGACTTCGAGAGCAAACCCACTCCGGAAGTGAAGTGGTTCCGCAATGGCGTCGAGTTGGTTCCTTCTGATAAGAACGTCATCAAGATCTATGAGAACACTGCGGAATTGTTCATTCCTGAAGTGACGAAGAAGGATGGAGGGAAGTATGAGGTCCGCGTGCAGAATCCTGTTGGTGAGGCTAGGAGCTCTGGGTCGGTTACTGTGAAGGATAAGCCGGATAAGACGGACGAAGTGAAGGCTCCCAGGTTCATTGAGCCTTTGCAACCGCAGATAGTTGCAGAGGGAGAGGTCGTGATTATGGAGACGAAGGTTGAGTCCTATCCGACGGCGTCGTTCCAGTGGTTCCATGAGACTCGTCCTTTGGAGGTACTTGATGTTTTATCTTGGTCTAGAGAATAGATTTTCAAACTTGTAAATAACTTAACTTCACTACCTAAACTAACTGCACAACTTCACCTGATGTTATGATTTAATCTAACTCTATAAACTAACTAACTACACATCTTCACCTGATTACTCAACCTCAACTGACTCCACTACCTAAGCTAACTCCAGTATCTAAGCTACCTCCACATCTTACACTAAATCCACAAGCTAACATAACTCCGTAGCTTCACCTGATTACACAACCTCAGCTAACTCCACAACCTAAGCTAACTCCACTACCTAAGCTACCTCCACATCTTGTACTAACTCCACAAGCTAACATAACTCCACAGCTTCACTTGATTACACAACCTCAGCTAACTCCACAACCTAAGCTAACTCCACTACCTAAGCTACCTCCACATCTTGTACTAACTCCACAAGCTAATGTAACTCGACAGCTTCACCTGATTCCACAACCTAAGTTAACTCCCCAACCTAAGCTATCTCCACATCTTATCGTAACTCCACAACCTAAACTAACTCCACAAATACACTTATCTGCAATCTTCTCCCGCAGTCCACACCACAAGTGAGGATCGTCACCCAAGAAAACCGATCGATCCTAATGATCAAAGAAATCAAATCCGAATACGCCGGCATCTACACCTGTCGCGCCGAGAACGTCGCCGGATCGGTCACTTGCACAGCCACCATAAATCTGCTGGAAACCCCATGGGAAGAGACTGTCGAGCTAGTTTCCCCGACGTTCGTCAAACGTTTGTCACCGGTCAGAGTGATGGACGGCGAAAGCGCGAACCTAACTTGCGTGGTCCAAGGAAAACCTACTCCAAAAGTAGAATGGTACCACGACAAGAAACCTATCAAAGAGGGAAAAGAGATCACTATTGTACAGGACACCGAAGGCGTCTGCAGCTTAGCCATAACCGAGGTGTTCCCCGAAGATGCCGGTGAATACACTTGTCGTGCCGTGAATCCTGTTGGCGAGGCTGTTTGCACGACGTCGCTTATCGTGGAAGGTAGGTTAATTAATTTAACTGTTTAATTTATTTAATCTTTTAATTGGTTTGTTATGTATAGTTAGTTATGTTGGGTATAACTTTTTATTTGAATATTTTGGGACTTTCAGCATACGAGTACGTACCGGACTCGGAAATCGCGTCCTCGATTGTGGCGACATCTTTGACTACAGGGCAAAGTGGTTCGGAAGAGGATCTCTTATCTCCCAAGGTAAGGCTTTGTTAATATTAAATAATGTTAACAGTTAATATTAAATATTAGATTGCAATGTTTCTGGTTTTGTAAACATTTGTACTGTTTTTAGGAAACTCCACTGTTCGATACGGACACAGAAGAATCCCCGCCGGAGATAATCAAGAAGCTTCCTCAGTTAGTTCCCAGCAAAGATGGAGAATTAACCAGGTATAGAGACGTCTTAAATCTTAACAGCATCAGTTCTTTCGCGACTGAAAAAATTAGTATTTAATTGCTTGTTGCTTGCATCTGTAATTATTTGTGGTATATATTGCATATTAGTATTTGTGGAACAAGGTAGTCTCTCAAAATCAATATGTTATAAAATAGTTTTGCCCCATTATCTTCTAAACTGCAATTCACTATATTATACTATAATTGTATTATATTATGCTATGTAACTAAATTTGTTTGACCATCAGACTGGAAGTGAAGGTCAAAGGAAAACCGAAGCCAGAAGGAAAATGGTACAAGCAGGGCGTAGAGATCGTGCCATCGCAAGAGTTCCAGATCGAAGAGTTCGAAGATGGCACATCGGTATTGACGATCGCCGAAACGTATCCCGACGACACGGGTGAGATTGTGTTCGAAGCGCACAATCCACTCGGAGTATCGACCACGACGACATATCTGTCGGTAGAAGGTAACCATTCCTCCTGGACGATGCAACGTCTCTTAAAATTGGAAGCTTCGCTAATCTGCTTGATACGAGTTCTTTTCAGCTGCGCTCTTCGATCGGAATCATCATCGGGATATTTCCTAATAAATCCTTGCACCTCCCCTTTTTACGATCATACTCACACGGAACACTCACATCCTTCACCTACACTTTCTTTTTATATTTTTTTGCACATTTCGCTGGGTTATTGGACCCTTTCAGTTCCATCGGTTGACTCTTGGAAGATTATGTGAAGTCATGATTTATATAGTTAGGATACATAGATAATAGAATATGATTTTTATGGTTTTGTTAGGCTTATTTTCTTGGAAACTGAGTATCTTGTAAATTTGTACTTCTAACCTTTTGTAATTGTGAGCTGTCTCTTTTGATTTCTAATATATGTAATTTTATTATTATAATATTTCATCGCTGCGTTAGGATATTAATTTAGTAGCTTATAATTATACAGTATAATCCATGAAATTTTAATCTGTATTTTAATGGCAATAATTTTAGTAGTAGTCTTTGAAATTGCAACAAATTAATCAACTTATAATAAGTTGAAATCAACCTTGAATAAGTTCAATGCTTGTAGTCTGATGCTATCATTTTCTTCTTCAAACATGTACTAAAATTATAACATTATTTAAAATTCCTCTCGATGGTTCAATTTCTATTTGATTAATGTTTAGGTACTGATAATTGTCAGCCAACATTGACTAACATTGTTAAGCTTTTAACATTGTATCATTCGTAACATCTGATATAACGTTGGGTTAGGTGAATGTAAACATAACTGGGCTACAATTAGGTTATGTTCCCGTTAACTAGATGATAACCAGATTATGTTTACATTAACTAGATGATGGCTAAGTTATGTTTACATTAACTAACTGATAGCTAGATTATGTTTACATTAATTAGATGTTAACTAGGTAGTGTTTATATCAACTAGGTGAAAGCTAGATTACGTTCACATTAATTAGATGATCTTTAGGTTATGTTAACATTAACCAGGTTATAACTAGTTCATGTTACTATAAACCAAGTTATAACCAGTTCATGTTAACATCAACCTAACAATGTCACATCAGTACAATTTTCCGAGATACTCCATCAATCTTCAAACGCTTTTTAAACAAGTATACAGTCCATTTCACATACTCACAAAGAGTCGAAAGATCCAAAAAATCTCAAGATGGTACCGAAAGGGTCGAAGTCCCGAACAGATTCTAATAATAATAATTCCCTTAATCAGGAATCCTCGGAACGAAAGAGTACAGGAAGCCAGAATGGGTGACCCACATGGAGGAGATGCAAGAAGCTCTGCGAGGTAAGAGTCGTTCGAGACCTTCTCAAGGGATCGATTGCATGCTGAGTGAAGCCGAGTGCAGCTTTTCCACCGACAGTCTCGACGATCGTGCGATTCGAGACGAGAACTCGCAGAAAGACAGCTCGACAATGATTAGCGAGTTCTCGTCAACGAGGACCCTGATGAACATCGACGACGAAGGTAAGAGGTGCGAAGAGGAGGAAGCTTCGAAAGGGTTCTTCCTGTCGAGGAGATACTCGGACACGGAGCACGAACTGGACAAGTACTCTTGGGAGATGAGTACCTCAACCAAAGAAGAGACCTTCAAAAACACCCTGAAGATCGAAATCACGGAGCACTCCCCGATAAACGACCGGAAGAGGGTGAAGTCTGAGAAGGTATTGAAAACAAAGAAATCAGAGAGTTCAGTTAAATCAACGAATGTCTCGAAGTCGAAACGTGATGTAAAGTGTCAGAAGAGTCCCGTGCGGGTTTCTCGTTCACCCAAAAGGTCTCCGTCTCCCGTTCAAAAAAGTGTGAAGGAGTCAAGTGAAAGGAAGATGGCTGATAAGCCTAAGTCTCCAATAAGATCTGAGAAATCGAAGCACAGGTCAACCGATAAATTAGTTACAAAATCGAGGAGCGTCAAAATCAAGGAAGAAACTATAAAGAACACTGAGAGTGTGTCAGCAGAAGAGTCTGAGAAGAAGAAGAAAATAATTTTGGATTTCAACGAATTTCCGCCACCGAGGTCCGAGAAGAGAAGCCACGCGGAGAGCCTCAACGTACCGGAAGGTGGATGTCACTTGTCGCCTATTGAAGAAAACAGCGAAGCGTCCACCGGAAGTGGCCAGAGCAAGGTGGTTGCTGAGACTTACTCTGGGAAGTCGATGGAGGCTGGACTGGAATATGATCACAGTAGAAAGTATCATACTTATCCGAAATCGAGAATACCGGTTGCTCGGTGGTCGAAGGAGAGGAGGTTTGGGAACTTCATGATGGATCCCAAGATGTATCCTTTGGAGCCGAGGGAAATTGATCTGGAGGCGTTCCAGCAGCTGCATACGGCGGATAGTCAGGAAGAGTTGCAGGAGTTTTTGTTGCTGGAAAGCCAGTGCAGCGGGAATCTGGGATTGGCGGGGAATATGTCGACGTCCGAGGTGTCGTGCAGCGAACATCACAGCGAGGACGAGAGAGGCACCATGTCAGGTATTTTTGGTGATAACACTGTCGTTAGGGTCTTCGGAGCTTGAGGGGTAATTTATGATATTTTAGGAGATGTTAGGTATAAAATTGGGTCTGTGATAGGCTCTGACGAGGGTACTTCATTATTATGATGCTCTATAGGAAAATAATTGGCAATATAGCAAAAGGTTTTTGGTCGCAGCGTTTGAAAGTTGACTAATTTAAACATACGAGTATTTGTAATTTTCTAAATTTCGCTGCTTCAAATGTTTTGGATTCTTAAATTTTGTTGTTTACATATGTTTTGAATTTATATCACTATTTAACAATTTTGTAAATGGAAAGGTTGAAAGTTTAAAAATTTGTGTATTTAGATATTTGAAAGTTTTAATATGTGGAATTTGAGAATTTCTCAATTGTTTAATTTAGCAAGCTGAATATTTGAGAATTTAACATTTGAAAAATTGAAGAATTTAATATTTGAAAAATTGAGGGATTTCATATTTGAAAAGTTAAAGAATTTAACATTTGAAAAGTCGATAAATCTAAAAACTGAAAAATTGAAAAAATGAAGAATTGAAAAACTGAAAAATTAAAATCTTGAAAAATTGAAAAATTGAAAAATTGAAAAATTGAAAAATTGAAAAATTGAACACTAGAAAAGTTGAAAAATCCAAAAATTGAAAAATTAAAATCTTGAAAAATTGAAAAATTGAAAACGTGCCTCGATGCCTCAGTAGCTCGACACTAGCGGCAGTATTGTCCCACAATATCTAAATTATTACTAACAGCCTAAAATTTGATGTTTTTATTGATTTTGCATGGATCTGTTTTTGTACGAGTGCTTTTTATTTTTTCGTTTTTTATCTGGCTAATCAGACTACTGACATCGGGGTCACACGAGTCGTACAATCACCAACCAAGAAATCAGGTAAGTGGTTTGCTTTAAATTTACTAAGTAAAGTATTTTTGTGTAGATTGAATATTTTATGAAATATTTATTTTTGTATTTTATTGCAGCCACGCAAGCTGTACCACGATTCATTCAAGAGATAACAGATATTTATGTGAAGGAAGGTGAGGGCGCGGTGTTCGAGTGCTCTTATTCAGGCAATCCTACTCCAGGTACTATTACTATTCTAATTCAATATTATTTTGTTAAATGAGATACTGTTTCATTTTTAAAAATCATACAAGTGAGGTTTATGAACTTCATATTATTACGAAGGAGAAATTTTTGTTCCACAATTAGAAAAATATATTGCATGTCTCAAATGAAATATACTTCTTGATCTTTTTTTATTTTTATCAACAGAAATTTCCACAATTGTATATTCTATTTTGTATTGTTTTATGTTCTAGTTTTTAACAGAACTGCTTCACTTTCATTATATAAATTAATAAACATATGTAAATATTTTCAGACGTAGTATGGTACAAGAATGACAAGATGATACTGAACACACAACACATGAAGGTGCGAATCTTCGAGGACGAGAAGAAAACCGTGTTGACGATCAAGCACGCAACTGGAGAAGATGACGGCACTTACGTGTGCAAGATTACCAGTGAAATCGGTTTAGCAACAACTAAAGCCAAATTACATGTGACTGGTAATGTTTCTGAACTATTAATTTCTGATAAACCCTAGTTATCTATAATATATGCTAAGTAACTCTTAACATGGAAAAAGTTAATTTGAAATTAACAAAGTGCAACAACGTTTACAAAAATGTTAACAAACACGAATTTGTTTAATTTAGACGTAACAGGTGAGAAGATGTTCATAGAGGAAGAAGAAGTCGAAGAACAGGTAGTAGAAGTGAAGCCTAAAGAGAAACCCAAGAAGAAGAAGACCGAATTGAAGAAAGCCAAGGAAGTGAAAGAGAAGGTTAAAACCGAACGCGTGAAAGTGGACAAGAAAGAAGTGCGCAAAGAGAAGCTGGTTCCTAAAGAACAACCAGATGAAAAGTTAGTCAAAATAACATTTAACTTCATCATTCTAATGATCATTCAATTACGATACTGTTCTGTCACATTCTTCACAATTTGTCATGATTATTCTTTGTTTCTCAAGATTGTTATTAATTATTTATCATGATTATCTAGGAAAATTGTTGACATCGAAGAAACACAGATATTGGAAACGACGGAAGTGATTGAAGAGAAACCAACTGAGGTATGCATCCAAATTCAATAGTTATAATAAAACACTTCATTTATCAAAATTAAATTTACTTATTATACAATACACATCAGTCGATACAACTTTTATTAAGTAATGCATCAAGTTAACATCTGTAGTTCTAACCAAATTTCTATTGAATTAGAAACAAAATACCTATTCATGTGCCACTTCATTTATGATTCTTATGAAGAAATCATACATAACCTCCTCTTTAATTTCTGATAAACCCTAGTTATCTATAATATATGCTAAGTAACTCTTAACATGGAAAAAGTTAATTTGAAATTAACAAAGTGCAACAACGTTTACAAAAATGTTAACAAACACGAATTTGTTTAATTTAGACGTAACAGGTGAGAAGATGTTCATAGAGGAAGAAGAAGTCGAAGAACAGGTAGTAGAAGTGAAGCCTAAAGAGAAACCCAAGAAGAAGAAGACCGAATTGAAGAAAGCCAAGGAAGTGAAAGAGAAGGTTAAAACCGAACGCGTGAAAGTGGACAAGAAAGAAGTGCGCAAAGAGAAGCTGGTTCCTAAAGAACAACCAGATGAAAAGTTAGTCAAAATAACATTTAACTTCATCATTCTAATGATCATTCAATTACGATACTGTTCTGTCACATTCTTCACAATTTGTCATGATTATTCTTTGTTTCTCAAGATTGTTATTAATTATTTATCATGATTATCTAGGAAAATTGTTGACATCGAAGAAACACAGATATTGGAAACGACGGAAGTGATTGAAGAGAAACCAACTGAGGTATGCATCCAAATTCAATAGTTATAATAAAACACTTCATTTATCAAAATTAAATTTACTTATTATACAATACACATCAGTCGATACAACTTTTATTAAGTAATGCATCAAGTTAACATCTGTAGTTCTAACCAAATTTCTATTGAATTAGAAACAAAATACCTATTCATGTGCCACTTCATTCATGACACACGAAGAAATAGTACATCCTCCCCTATCTATACACCGCTACATACGTGTCTTCCATTATTCAAGACCATACTGTTACCAGTTATCAACCTCATGCACTATACTCTAACAAAAATTAACCAAAAATTGCACGCAGGTGTCGCAGGCAAAGAAGGTAGTACCCATCCAAGAACCAGTAATGACGGAGGCAACCGCCTCCCTCAAGAAGATCGACGACGAAAAACCGCGCGAAATGGCGCCGCGTCCCGAAGAGCGTGCCAAGCGCGTGATCGAGGAACGCGAAGGAATAGTGGTCGTCTCCGAAGTGACCACCGAGGACATGGCTCCCGACTTCACGGTGCAATCCATAGTAGACCGTGCGCAAGTAACATCAGAGACCCTACAAACAATCTCCGTGTCCGAAGTGCACACAGAGACCAGCGTGCAAGAAGTAAGACGAGCGGAAGCACGTCAAAGAAAGGCGAAGAAGACGGTGGTGACCGAAGAAGAAATATTCGAGGAGCGACCAAGAGAAGTGGTCACCGAAGAGAAACCTAAAAAGAAGAAGAAGGCAGAGAAGAAGGTCCGAGAAGAAATCACCATCGAGGAGATCGTGGAGAGACAGAGAGAGAACATCGCCAGAGAGGTGGAGGAGATTATGGAGATGTTGCACGCCAAGGAATTCGGACCTGGAGAGGCTCCTCTTCGGGAACTGGCCACGATCGGTTACCTGGTTCGCCAAGGTGTCACCGTGAATGAAATCAACGAGAGTCTTTATAGAACTGAAAACTTCCCTGCGTTGAAAACGCCGGAGGCGCAGAATGCGCTCGTTCAGTTGGTCGAGAGGGAGGGTCATGGACCTCTTATCACTCAGGTGCTAACCGAAGAGACGACCACCGATGAAAGCGTCGTCGCTGCGACCGTTGGTTTCCGCGCGTTCATGAGGATGATCGAACTGCAACATGTTACCGTTGAGGAGGTGCTCACGCACTTTGCTCCGGAGGACTTCCGGCCACGTGCTTGGGAGGTTACTGAAGCCACCGAAGTAAGGATGCGATTTTTGGTAGATAATGTTTGGGGATAATTGGGGGTTTAATATTTCGAGGGTTTAGTTGGCAAGGTGATTTATTTGGAGGGTTATTGCAATTGGTAGTTGGAAGGTAGAGAATTTGGGGATTTGGAAATTTGGGAAATAGGAAATTTAAGAATTTGGGAACTTGGAAATTTGGGATTTGGGAGATTTGGGGGATTTGAAAGTTTGAAGGATTGGGGATTTGGGGTTTGGGGTTTTAGGGATTTGGAAGTTTAAGAATTTGGGAACTTGAGAATTTAAGGATTTGGAGGATTTGTAGGTTTGAAAATTTGGGGATTTCGGAATTTGGGGTTTTAGGGATTTGGAAATTTAAGAATTTGGGGATTTAGAAATTTGGGAGATTTCAAGGTTTGCAAATTTGCAAATTTGGGAATTTGGGGTTTTAGGCATCTGGGAATTTAGAAATTTAGGAACTTGGGAATTTAGGAATTTAGGAAAGTTGAAGGTTTGCAAATTTGGGATATTTGGGAAGTTGGGGTTTTAGGGATTTGGGGATCTGAAGATGTGGGGATATTGAGATTTGAAGATATAGAAATTTAAGGATATAGGGACTTGGGGTTATAGGGATTTAGGGATATAGGGATTTGGAGTTACAGGAATTTGAGGGACTTGAAGATTTGTGTATTTGGGTATTTGGAAACTTAGAGATTTTGGGATTTCAGAGTCGTAGATTTGAAGATTTGGAAATTTGGGAAATTAGAGGAATTTAGGAAATTTGTGAAATTTGTGAAATTAGGAGAACTTAGGAAATTTGGGAAATTAGAGGAATTTGGGAAACTTGAAAAGTTTGGGAAATTTGGGAAATTTGGGAAATTAGAGGAATTTAGAAAATTTAGGTAATTTGAGAAATTTGGTAAATTAGGAGAACTTAGGAAATTTGAGAAATTTGGGAAATTTGGGAAATTTGGGAAATTTGGGAAATTTGGGAAATCTGGAAATCTGGAAATATAGAAATACAGAAATATAGGAGTTTGGAAATATGAAAATGTGGGGATTTGAGGATTTGAGAATTTAGAAATTTGGGAATTTGCAGATTTGGAAATTTGGGATTTGTAAGATGTGAAGGTTTACAAATTTGGGAATTTGGAAATTTGAGAATTTAAAAATGTTATAAATTGGGGATGTTAAAAGTTTGAAAGCTTGAGAATTTAAAAATTTAGGAATTAGGGGATTTAAAGATTTGATGATTTGTAGTTTTCAAAATTTATATATTTGGAGACCTACGAAACTTGTATGATTTGTAAATTTGAGAAGTTGTAAATTTTAAAATCTACCAATTTAATGACTTGTAAATTTGAGAACTTAATAATGTATAAACAGGAAAATTCATCATACCACTCGCTATTATTAAAAATTGTACAACATCTAAACAGACTAATATTCTTCAGGTCGAAACGGAAGAGCGCGTTACAGAACGAGTAGATGTCATTCACAAGACGGAAGTGCACTTCTTGGGTAAGTCAAGATTGATGCGTGAGGTTTGCTCCTAAAAAACAGAATCCTCGGACAAGGCAACATAACAGGACCGTTGCAGATTCTCTAGACTCTAAACATCGTGTTATTTTGGTGTGTGCTTGCGTGGCTGCAAAAAATACTTTGTACAGTTTTTTTTTAATCCCATTTATTTTGTAAATAATTTCAAGGCTTCGCAAATTAGACCTAAACTACGCATGAGTTTTCTTTCCTGTATATAAATATCGCGACGAAGTTTTCGCTTTCCGACATTTTGTATTTTGTATATTGTACATTTTGATTGTATCGAATAAAAGTGATTTTTTGTTTGTTTTTTTTTTCTAAGAAGGTGCCATAACAACAAGCTGTGTGTTTTTGCTTTTATTTTCCTGTCCCTGAATCTTCCTCTCGAGATGAAAAAAAGAGTTTGGATTTTTTGATTGCAGAGAGGAGGGACGAAAGAAAAGCCGTCCGCACGCAGGATATTCGTGACATTAAAGGTTTGAAGCAACGAGTTTCAGTGCATGGGATATACATTCAAATAATTCACCGTTCGATTCGAATGGAGATCACAATTAATATTTCTTCTCATGTTCTCTTGATCATTGTGTCCGAACAGTTCACGCCACATCGACATCTTGTTTTTTATTTTATTTTTTCAAGTACCTGAAGAGAAGCTTTCTGCAGGGTGTTTCTGAACTGAAAGTGCATTTTATATTCTCTTTTCGTATATTATTATATATTTGTACTTAATAATTATATTTTTATACAATTTTTTATTTATACTTTTGTATAATTTTTTATTTATATTTTTATATTATTTGATAGATATATTTCTTATACAGTATTATTACGATGTGATATAATAATAGGATAGTAGTTTGTAAAGTATTTTTAACTTTTTTATAGAATATTTCTTTGTGATATCAACAGTTCAAAACACCCTGCGCATAGAACATTCCATTTATTTTAATATTTTTATACATTTAAAAAAGAAACAGAATTATATCTGAAAGAGGAAAAGATATTTAAGGGAAACTTCCACTCGATTAAAAAGTTGATGATTTTTATGATAAATTCTTTTTAGTAAATGATATGTAATAAACCTTAAAAGAATTTTAACAGGGTGTCTCACAACTAGTGTAGGTCCCTGAAATAGAAGATAGCTGACGTGATTCTGAATAAGATTTCCCTTTGCAAAAATGGGATTTGAAGCTTCGTTTTTGAATTATTAAGGAAAAGCACGGACCAATCAGAGCGCGAGGATTACGCATGCGTAGACGCGAGAACGGCAGCTTCGGATAACGCGTAGTTATCCAACGCGTGGTTATCCAACGCGTAGTAATGCAACGCGTGGTAATCCTACGCG